GTTGTTGGATGGGGGTCCCCGCTCGAAAGGAAGCGCCCCCCAGGATCCGACAACCCGCACCCATACCCATAGCCAGTCCTCCTCTCAACGTTCCCCCTATGGGTATGGGTGTGTGTTGTTCGTTCGTCACTTGGAGGACCTCGACCACCGGCCTATCTCGAGATCAATGATGGCGAAAACATGTCGCTGCACCTCTGGCGGCCAAGTCAGGGATCTCCTGCGGCCCGTGGGCCCTGGAAGACGGAAGCTGGTCGTTGCCAAGGCACGACGACCATAAAAGAATCGCGGGCCAGACTTTGATTCGGACGCCCGAAATGGGTACGGAAAGCCTTAGCCCTGATACGCCCAAAATGGAACATTTGACTTTCCACGGACGTCCAAATCAAAGTCTGGACGGGTATGGGTAGAATCGCAGGCCAGACTTTGTGTTGGACGCCCGAAATGGGTACGGGAGGAGGAGCAGGAGGACGAGGACCAGCTGCCTCCTCCTCCTCCTCGTCCTCGATCCTCCTCCCTCCTCCTCCTCTTCCTCCTCCTCCTCCTCCTTTCACTCCTTCTCCTTCTCCTCCTCCTCCTCCTCCTCCTCCTCCTCCTCCTCCTCCTCCTCCTCCTCCTCTCTGGACGCCCGGAATGAGTACGGAAAGAATGGGTAAACTGCCGACAACAAATGCTGTCCCAAACCAACAGCGGCCGCTGTTGGGCAGGCGGCCTTCTGTCTCGAATGGACACAGGCCGCGGCGGCGTGGACAGCGAGTCTTGTTCAAAATGAACCAGATCCGCTGTTTGGCATTGTACCCATTCTTTCCGTGCCCATCTCGGTCGTGCAGATTTGAAGGACCTCGATCACCGGCCTATTTCGAGATCAATGATGGCGAAAATATGTTGGCCATGTGCGCTGGATGCTGTCACTGCACTTCTGGCGGCCAGGTCAGGGATCGCCGGGACAGATGCACGGGACCCCTTTACCTCGGACCCGCGAGACACAGGACACTGTCACACGAGGCTGTGCATCCTCAAGGGGGAAAACATCCGAAGATTGGCGTTCCGCTTAACCTGGGGCCGCTAGGAGAAGAATCCTGGTCGTGAAAGGCCTTGTTTGATCTGGCCCCTCAAAACGGCAGCTCAGGCTGCCTGTTGTGGTGTGGTTGGTGGTTGATGTGTGGAAATCATCGTGTTCCTCGTCCTCCTCCTCCTCCTCCTCCTCTTCCTCCTTCTCCTCCTCCTCTTCCTGATCGTCATCATCCTCATCCTCACCATCTGCTTCCTCTTCCCTTTCCTCCTCCCTCTCCTAACCTCCTTCATACCCTCCTCCTCCTCCTCCTCCTCCTCATCCTCCTCCTCCTCCTCCCCGTCCTCATCCCACTCCTACCCTGCCCCACCCCCCCAACCCCTCAATCCCCCTCCTCGTCCCCCTCATCGTTCTCTTCCTCCTTCCCCCTATACCTCCTCCCCCTCCCGCCATCGCCGCCGCTCAGGGACGCGTTCTGACCAGAACCGTCGAGGGGAGCGCCACCAGTGGCGACAAGAAGCTTCCCACAGGCAGCAAACATGCCCTCACGCCTGACAGCTTGGACAATCGAGCATCGATCCTCGATCCTCGAACCTCGGTCCTTGATCAACGCACCTCGATCAACAAACCTCGCTCCTCGAACTGCGATCCTCGAAGGTCGGGCGTGGACGCTCCAGGCTCAGCACAAGCCCGGCCCAGCCAATACACGCAGATAGAGCTGCGCTGCAGTGGTGTTGGGGTCCTATCAGGGGCTGCTGAAACCCGATCCGTCCATCATGTAAGGCCACATGGCCGCGGGCGGCCCCAGGGATCCAGCTGTACTTCGCAGCATCCTGCAGCATCCAGCTCTCTGGCCGAGCCCCGCTCACGCTGCACCCCGCTACCTGCCGGCCGAGAAGCCCGCCACCCTCGAACATCGAGCCTCCATCCACGAGCCCCGAGCCTCGATCCTGAACTCTCGAGCTTCGATCCTCGAACCTTGCTCCCCTAGTCTCTAGTCTCCAACCTGGACCCTCCAACCTCGATCCTGAAGCCTCGAAGCTCGCTCCTCGAAGCTCGTTCCTTTAACCTCGATCCTCGAAAGTCCTGGCGTGGACGAGGGCGAGGAGGAGGACAAGGAGGATGATGATGATGATGATGATGATGATGAGGAGGAGGAGGAGGAGGAGGAGGAGGAGGAGGAGGACGAGGAACACGAGGAATAGGAGGAGGAGGAGGAGCAGGAAAAGGAGCAGGGGGACGAGGACCAGCCCCCTCCTCCTCCTCCTCCTCCTCCTCATCCTCCTCCTCGATCCTCCCCCTCCTCCTCCTCCTCCTCCCCTCCTCCTCCTCCTCTCCTCCTCCTCCTCCTCCTCCCCCTCCCCTCCTCCTCCTCCTCCTCCTCCTCCCCTCCTCCTCCTCCTCCTTTTTCCTGCTCCTCCTCCCCCTCCCTCCGTCCTCCTCCTCCTCCTCCTCCTCCTTTCTCCTGGGGCCGGGCCTCGGACCCGCTCCGCTCCGTGGGGCCCTCGCACACGTGGCCCGCGCACGGCGGCTGCACCGCGACGTCCATCTCCCCGGCCGCGGCCGCACCCCCCCTCCACTAGAAGAAAGAATGCCACAAACGTTCGGCGATACTCCCCCTCCTCCTCCTCCTCTTCCCACTCCTCCTCCTCCTCCTCCTCCACCACCTCCTCCTCCTCCCTCTCCTCCTTCTCCTCCTCCTCCTCCTCCTCACTCATCCTCATCCTGTCCTCCTCCTCTTCGTCTCCTCCTCCTCCTCCTCTCCTCCTCCTCCTCCTCCTCCTCCTCCTCCTCTTCCTTCCGTCCTCCTCCTCCCCTCGAGACTCGAAGTTCAAAGAAGGGAAAAGGTCACGAACAGAAACTTTTGGCGCTCCGCGCGGATTTCTTGGATCCGCGCCGGGCCCCCACGCAGATCCAAGAAGTCCGCGCGGAGCGCCAGAACTCAATGTTTATGCCGTTTTTTCTTTTTCGAAAGGTGCCCCTGAGCTTCTGAGGATCCCTGGGCCATCGGGTGATAAGAAACTTCCCTGGGACACGTGCTTGCAAGCCGAGGCTACGCCGGCTGAATAAGTCTGTGGACCCCAGAGAAGGGTCAACGCTGGCGGACCCAGGGTCGCCAGAGTCGGCGATCTGGCGCACCTACATAGCGCGCCTGGCGCGCCTGTCACACTCAGCACACATCGAGCGCTGTTTGGTGTAGCGTCAGGATGTCAACCTACTGTACCACAAGGGCGGCTACGCCGGCTGAGTCAGCATGCGGACCCCAGAGACGTGTGTATGTTTGCGGCGTTCTGTCTTCTTCCCTCCCCCCCGGCGAGTTGCTGCCGCTCCGCCTGCCGCCCCCCCCCCCCCCCCCCTTGCGCGGGGCCCGGCGCCAAGCCTCCTCCTCACCGTCTGGCAGAGACCATCCTGCCCCATACGCCCTGCGGCACCATCGCAATACGCGCCGTCACCATCGCCGTCGTCATAACCGCCATCCTCACCGCAGTCGCCATCATCAACAGCCACATAGACATCGTCGTCTTCGTCGTCTTCGTCGTCGTCATCATCATCAGCATCATCAGCAGCATCATCAGCATCAGCATCACCATTAGCAACCTACTCATCATAATCATCATCAACATCATCACCGTCACCATCAGCAGGATCATCATCATCATCACCATCATCATCATCATCAGCATCAGCATCATCATCATCAGCATCAGCATCATCATCAGCATCATCATCATCATCACCACCACCATCAACATCATCCTTTCCATCACCATCATCATCATCATCAGGAGATTCCCCACCCGTCCTTTTTACACAGAGCTCTCATATATGTCATCCGCATGTGGTGACCTTGCAGACAACACAATTCTGAGAACACGCCGGCGTGAGACACACAACAACGCACTTTACAGATCCGTGCAGTCAATACAATTGCTTGCGGCCCGCCAAAAGCCAGGGCGGGTAGGTCGTGCACCAGTTCAGACAGGGAGGGAGGCTTGAGCGAAACGTATACGGACTCTGTGTATTCATTTCCTGCACGTTCTGAGGACAAGTCGGAGATTCCCCACCCGTCCTTTTACACAGAGCTCTCATATATGTCATCCGCATGTGGCGACCTTGCAGACAGCACAATTCTGAGAACACGCACTTTACAGATCCGTGCCGACATTCGAGGCACCAAAAGTCGCTATCGGTTCTCTGCCGTCAGCGCGGCTCGGGGTCTTTCACACGGAAGGGGTACAGGCGGATGGTTTGCCGAAAGACTCGATCGAATGCAGCATCTTGAAACACATCGGCCATTCGATTCGCAAGAACGTGAGGGTAAGCTGCGGCGCGAGCGGTCCAGTGAATGCCCAGGCCGTCTCGGCCCTGGAGAATCTGGTGTTTCTTTCCAGAGAACGAGCAGATGCCACGGACAGCTTTACAACCCTTACACAATTCGTCGGCTCTCGGCAGCAGGAAGCATCTCAGCCTACTGGGTTTACACCACGGCGTGCCCCAACCGCAATAGTTAGTTATAATATCGCGGACCCCGGGCCAGCGAAAAATCTGAACGGCAGCATCCATTTTCCACATGTAGGATGACTGAGGATTCTCCCACAAGAAAGAAACCCGCATCTTTTTACAGCACTTAAAGATCTTACAGGACACCTGAAACAGTTTGTTGCCCTCGTCTACCAGGCATTGCAGATGAGGAGGGAGCGAGGGGAGGCCAGAGGGAGCTTGCGACGATCTAATTGCATTATGGCCTCCTCGGGCAATGGAGAACGATTTACATGGCACACCAGCTAGCACACCGAGACATCTGTCGGACTTGATCATCCGCAGGATGCGCTTCAAGACGGCGGGCCTCAGGAGGTCACCTTGGGGCCCTTGTAGCACATCAAATGAGTACACTCTGAAACCACGACGGCGCAGCGAATTCGAGAAATGCTCCGAGCCCGAGAAGATTTCTATGTAGAAATACTCGTGTCTCTTGGCGCGGGGATCGCTCAAGCGTTGGCGGATAGCGAGGCGGCGCCGAGCAGCGAGGGCAGCTCGGCCTCGGCCTGGAGGCAGTAGGTCCTGGCCGAGGGCTCCATCTCGCTCCACACCGCCTGGATGAGCCCGCGCTTCTCGCAGCGCCTGACCGAGCTCGGCTGGCGCCACCTGCCGCGCCGCTGGACCTCCTGCAACGAGATCCCCCCCGTGAAGCGGTCGATGGACGCGCCGCTGTGCCGGGCCGTGTAGAGCACGGGCAGCTGCTTGTCCAAGCCCAGCGCGCGCGTCGCGCGCTCGAACACGTCCTTGGCCTCCGTCATGGTGAACGTCCACAGGGAGGCGCTGGGCGGGCCCTGGGCTAGCCGAACCAGAAGGCTGCCCAGCCATGGACGTGCCACGTCCACTGTCTCGTCCATCTCGCCAGTCTTGCTCGGTCTCTTCATGTAGTCGGGGTTGATGTGGATCGTCACATTGGGCATGTGCGCCTGCGGCGGGACCACCTGGCCGCAGGTCAGGCGGAACGCCTCGCCAGGCCTCAGGTACGTGTCCACCATCAGGAGCCAGAACACCGCGAGGTCGGGGCGGCCGCTGATCCGCCAGATCTGGCGCGCCACGCCCATGCAAGCCGCCCAGGGCAGCGGGCGCCGCGTCCGCGACGGCCGCAGCAGGCGCCAACCTCGCAGCGCGCGATAGGCGCGCGGCAGGGCCAGCTTCCCCTTGCTCTGGTAGTCGGGCACGTGCATGAAGATGGCGGCGAGCAGCTTCTCGCCCGTCGACGCGACCTTCCCCTCGAGGTACAGCTCGTGGAAGAACCTCACCACGGCGGCGTCCGCGTCGGCAGCAGGCGCAGCCAGATGTCAGGCGACTGCGACTGAGGAACAGCTCGAGCAGCCGCGTGTACTGCAGTCGGCTCCGCCGTCCCACCGCGGCAGCCTCGGTGATAGAGAGCTGGCGGGTGGTGTCCCGCGCCTGCTCCCCAGCGTCCAGGCGGCGCTGCGCAGAGCGCGGCAGCTCCCGCAGGGGGATGCTGCGCGGGGCCGCCAGCACCACCGACGGGCGTCGAGTCAGAGCCTCGCGGCGGCGCAGGGCGGGCGAGCCCAGGGGGCCCGAGCTGCGACGCGCCGGCGCCCGAGCCGCCGAGGGCCGCAGAGGGGCCTGCGCTGTTGGGCCGCTCCCAGGCGCGCTGCACTTCAGCCGCCTGGTCGGCGGCGGCGCCGCGAGGCCGCGGGGCCGCAGCGGGCGCGCGGCTGCCGGCGGCGGGGCCGACTTTTCTCCGGCCGCAAGGGTCCTTACGGCGGGAGAAAAGATGGAGAGCTTCAGCTTCGCCTGCGAGGCGGCCGAGTCCCGGCGGGCCCGCGGGGGCCGCGGGCCAGCCGCTGCCGAGCAGACTGTCGCCCTCGGGGCCCCGCGCCGAGCCGCGGCGGTGCCGGAGCTGACGCCCGCGCGCCGCGGTAGCGCGCCAGCCGGCCCCAGATGCAGCGCGCCCTGCAGCACCCTCGCGGGAGCGGCTGTCACCGTCGGCCGCATTGAACTCGCTGGGCACCCATCGTCGATGCATGCGGGCCCCCGAGGCGAGAGTCAAGGCGGCGCCTCGCCGCAAGATATTGAGCAGAAATATATCACGACAACGTCCTTTAGATAGTGCAAGTGTGAGTGCTAGATTGCCCCCCAAGACGACGCGCCTCTTCCCCCAGGAGTCCGCGTCCGACAGGATCAGCTTCACGGCGCGTAGGTCACCCCTTGCCTCCTTACGATGCATGGGCCCCTTGCCGAAGAGTGGCGAATAGTGCATGGTCGACCAGCTGGTGCGGCGGATGGCGTGCGTCGACACTTCAGGGAATCTTTTGTTGGCGAGACCCTGGCGCAACAGAACAGACGGGTGCGCATCGAGCTCGGCGACCTCGGCCGCACGTGCCGCGCGGTCGCGCGGCCGCCAACCCCCGTCCGCCTCACGCGCGTGGCGGAACCGCCACCGCTCGTGCCAGCGACCAGCACTCTGCACCTCGGAAAGGTCCCACTCGCCCTCGACAGAGGCGTGGCCCGTCTCGCAGGCGTCAGTCATGACGACCTTGGTGGACCACTCGGCGTCGAGGTCCGAGACGAGCGTGACCAGCAGGCCGCGGGAGATCCTGAACTCGCGCCGCGCCGGCGCCCAGAGGGGCCTGGCGCGCTGGCAGTTCTGCTGGACGAACGAGTAGACGGCGCTGAAGCAGCTCAAGCTCTCACGCCGGCACAGCGCGGCAAACGTGCAGTGGCCGATGGCGTGCTCGACGTCGCGGCTGGTGACGCGGGGCCGGCGCTGCGCCAAGTAGCCGAGCCCCATGCGCAGCTTCCAGAACCGCCGCGGCGCCAAGGTGGCGCGGGCAGGCGATCCCTGCAGCTGCCCGCCGAGCATGGCCATGCTCTCGGCGGCGTCGGTCTCGTCATGGACGGCCAGGCCGGAGCCCTCCAGCGCCTTGGAGGCCTCGCGCCTGACCTTGGTCACGGCCTCGCGGTCGGTGCCCACCACGAGCACGTTGTCGACGTACAGCGAGTGGATGGGCTCCTCGAGCGGGCTGGGGACCGGCACGAAGTCGACCGCCCGCCGCTCGGGCCTCAGGGCGTCGTGCTGGCCCAGCGTCCGCTCGTGAGCCTTCTGAACGAAGAAGAGTGCCCAGCTCCACCCCATGGGAACAACGGCAAGTTCTGGGTAAAGGCAGGCCCAGGGCGGGACACGCCGCCCGTCAAGCCTGCTGATGCCGAGCTCGCCCGCGGTGACCTTCGGCAAGCAGAAGTACGACCGCAGGTAGGCCGGCAGCTTGTGCTGGTAGAACGCGTTCTGGACGCCCACCCCCGCGTAGTAGAGGGGCGTGTCCTTTGGCACCTCGGGGTCCGCGAACCCCGCGGCGGAGAACAGGCTGACCGACGGAGGAGGCTGAAACCGCTGGTTGCTACGCCTGCAGTCCAGCACCATCCTGATCCGCTCGTCCTTCTTAGCCACGAAGAAGGCGGAGACGTCCTCGGTCCTCTCTTTCCCTAAGACGAAGACGCCCCGCGAGATGCCAGACTGGATGAATTCAAGGTAGAGCGGCCTGTTCCGCTCCAGCACAGGGTCCGTGTACAACGTGGGCCCCCCCTCTGTCTCCACGGCCTCGTCGAAGCTCGGTGGCGGCAGCAGCAAAGCATGGTCGAGGTCCAAGAGAGAGCATCGTTCGCTTGTCCCCAGCCGATCCGCGAGCCACTGAGGCTCGTTTCCCAACTCGGGCCAGCTCACGAGGTGCGGAGCGTAGGGCCTCAGCGGCAAGTCGTTAGCCGTGTCGTAGTGCAGACACGGGCGACCCAAAAGCTCTGAGCAGGCTTCCTGGGCCGACGTGCTCGGAGGGGCAGCCGTATCACGATACAACCCTCGAACACGCCGATGCAGCAGATCATCCAGATGTGAGAGGCGCTCTGGCGCGACCCGCGGTGTGGCGTAGCCCCCAAGCAGGTTGAGGCACTCCACGGTGTCCCGAGTGCGCTCCTCGATCAACTGGGCGCGGGAAAGGCGAGCCCGAACCGAACGGGATAGTCCAGGCGGTGGAGGCGAAGCAATCGGCGACGCAGACACGGCAAAAGGCAGCATGCCATCGCCAGGAGGTTAGACACCAGCAGGTCCACAAAACTGGCTCTCGAAATGCGGCGATCGGGTCGAGCCACCTCCCGATCGCTGACCCCAGGTCACCCCTTGTCCTTCCTGCCCGACTGGGCAGATTTCTCCTCGCGCGCCTTGCGCCTCTGCTTCTGGATCTCCGTCGTCTCCTTGGCGAGCTGGTCGGTGGCGCACTTGGCGACCCCCGGCGCCGTCGCGACGCCGCGGCGGGCGCTCTGCTTCTGGCGGCCGATGTAGTGCTCGACGCCCTCGATCTTCATGCTCCCCATGGTCTCCTCGATCAGCTGGTAGGCCCGCGAGACCACCTCCATGCTGGCGAGGTTGGAGCCGTCGACCTGGTCGTAGGTGACGGCCATCTCGATGGCGAAGCCGAGCAAGTCGTGGATGTGCGCGGCCGCCGAATCCTTGGCGCAGCCGCTCTCCATCATCCACTTGGCGTGGCGGCCGTCGGGGGTGCCGCCGTGGTCGACGATGTAGTCGCACAGCCACTTGAAACTGCGCTCGCCGACGAGCGGGAAGTCGTCATGCTGCTCCTGCCTCATGGACGACACCGCCTCGCGAAAGTCGCGGTGCTTACGGCCCTCCCGCGTGCGCTGGAGAGGGCCGAGGAGGCGGGCGTCGTCGTCAGCTAGCTTGTCCGACACCTCGACAGGCAGCGGGACAGGGTGGAGCTCGATCGGCACGACGAAGCCGCCCGCCGTGCTGTAGAGCCCGCTCTCGCCCCAGACCACGTCACCCGCCTTCGGGGCGACTTCGTCGAGCTGCTGGCACTCGTTCGGGATCGTCTTCATCACAAACCATGCAGACCCAGGCGGCGCGGCCCGCTCGTCAGTGAGCACCACCGCGCCAGGGCCGCCCCTCGGGGTCGGAGTGCCCCCGACCTCGCCGTCGGCGAGCGCCCCCGGCTCAGCGCCCGCGGCGTCCAGCGGGGGCGGGGCCACAGGCGGGCCACGAGGCGGGCCGCGCGGCACGGCAGCGGACGGGCCCTTGCCCCGCGTGCGGCGCAAGAGGCCTGGCACGTCGTTGAAGCTGACCGTCATGCTCTTGGTGGGCCGGCCGCCGTCGCGCATGAAGGCGGTCGGCTCGGACTCGCGCAAGCCGGCGTTGCGGGCGGCCAGGCGAGCGTCCCGAAAGAGGTCGATCATGTCCTCCTCGGCGGGATATTCACGAAACCTGTAGACTCGCCCCGGGGGGCGAACAGCAGCGGGAGTCGCCCCCATCGTGAGGGAGACGCGGCTCGGCCCGTCGCCATCGGGCCCTGCCGCCATCTCTTCATGGTACACGTCGCCGTCAGGCGTGAGGCAAGTCCAGCATGTGTTGGGGAAGGCGCCAGGGGACGGCCACAACAGCAACCGTTCGTGCCATATGTTCGGGTCGTCCTCATAGTAGAAGCACACGACCCGCCCTGGCACCAGCTCATTGAAGAACTCCTCCGCCTCGGCGGCGGTCCCGTCGCTCAGGAAGAGGCTCAGGTTCGCGGGCAGGAGGGCCATCGCGGCGACGCCAGGCGGCGAGGCAAGCGCCACACTGCGTCAGCGCCGCGGTCAGCACCACCCCGAGCGCGTGCCACAGGAGCGTGTCGGGCTCCTCGGGCAGCTCGGGCGGCGCGGCCTGCAGGGCGCGGAGCTCGGCCAGCTCCGCGGACAGGTTGGCCAGCGCGACCTGCACCTCGTCCAGCGCGGCGTGGCACGGGCTGAGGTTGGCCGCGTGCGCCGCGGCGAGCTGGGCCCCGCG